TTTTAATATAATATTATGAAAAGAAATGGTTCAATCTTACTTTCAATCTCACATCTATTACTATTTTTTAAAAGTACGATGGCATGTTTGGAGAACTGAGGATAAAGCACAGTGATTGATTTCACGTTCATTGCAGCTTGCTTTCAGCACGAATGAGAGCATTATCTGAATAGTTATCCAAAATAATAAAACAAAACATACAAAAGTTTGTTTTATTTAAATTAGAAATCTTTTAACTATTATATAAATGTCAAAAAAGTTAGGGATATTTGTCAATTAAACATATAAAAGTCGAAAGAAACAATTGATAATTTGTCAATACTTAAGCGTCATATCTCTGCACAATCTATGAAGAATATAATGACGATTTATAATTAAATTGCGATGCCATAGAGCTTGCCGCTGATTTTCCTGATGAGTCTGCTGAACTTTTGTTTATTGTTGTTGGTTTGTACCTTTGTAAAAACTGTTCCAATTTTTTCTTTGCTATCGCATTTTCCTTGTTTTTTTCTTGTACTAAGACAACATAGTTATCTTGACTCATGTTAATTTTACCGTCCAGTTCTTTTGGCAAGCCGCATTTACCTACTTCACATGGGTGTGACGAATCACTGAATATACGTAAACAACAGGCCCATATTAATTTCGGTATTTCTTCTTCCGACAATTTCTTTAATATAGCACATTGTAAAACTTCTTGAGCTTCCTCTCCAGTCATCTGTTTCTTTGGATTATTAATGTCGACAACGAAACCAGGATGATAATAACAGTTTCCATCGCGTGTTTCCTTTGGTACATAATTTCTTAAACACTTTGGACACTTTCTCGATGTTTCTTCGTCCTCACGAGTGTTTTTTTCTGTTTCTTCTGCAAGAAGTTGAGCGGAGGATTTCTGGAATTCAATATCCTCAATCAATGTATCTCTCAACCATGGGTCTTTTACAACTATGACAATCCATTTTTCAATTCTTATTGTTTTACCCTAAATAGAATGTTTTAAATGTAAATATTTTATTTATCGCAGACACTATACTAGTCAAAGAATTGTAATCTTAAGGAGGACTTAAGGCTTAGCAAGGGAAAATAGGACACTACTCTGTTTCCGATAGAAATTCAGAAACCTTTAAAAATATACTTGAAAATGGACAAAATTGTTGAATTATCGATATTGTCAGAATTCTTTAGGAATCATGTTAGCGTCCATGATGAATCACTTGGACGCTAAACGATGATTAAGATGCGCCTTCTAGTCTAATCGGCTTAGGACAACTGCCCTGATAGCAGAAGATATGGGTTCGATTCCCATGAAGGTCATCTTTTTCATCGTTCTGTCACATAACATCAGTGACACTGCTTGTCTCTTTCGTTCTATACATATGAGAGCTAACAAATCATAGCAGTAAAAAATTTTTTGACTTAGAAAAACTCCTTATTTATACTCTATATCTACCTCATTATCAGGCTCTGTTTCTTCAATAATAGACGTTTTACACTTTTCTCGTATGAATTGATAGATGCGTATGTTTGAAATTGATTTTGATTTTGACATTTCTGAATCAGATTTGTTTAACATAATTAATGAATCAATATCAAATATAAGCATTGATCTATTATATTCATTACATTCAAGAAATATTGTTGTTAATATTTCAAATATTTGGTCTTCGCCAAAAGCATTTTGTTTTATTAAAAAATTTAAATAAATAATTTGTACTGTATCAATATTCCTTGTTGAGCAGCCATATATGAAACGTGCTAATAAATGTGGCATAGACGTTTCAGTTTTATTTAAATCTTTTTCCAATGTTGGATCATTCTTTATTTCAATACGACATTTACGATCAGTATAATCAATTAATATGCGGCCTGTTGGTATCATTTTTTGAAAGTCCAATGAAAACTCATCTTCTTGATTTACAGGATTAATTATATTTGGATTTATACGACATATTTCTGGTAATGTACTTATACCAAACCAAACATTAAATTCTCTCGCAACACTATCAGCTAATTCTAATAGACGATGTTCAGTGATACGATTACGATCCAACTCGATAATCAGACTAGATTTCAATGCACCTATTGCAGCACCACTAAAATTTGTTGTGATTTTAACTAATGATTGTATACGTGCTGGTGTAAAAATTTCTGAATTTTTACACACTAATGGTAATAACATATTACTTCTTATAGCAGGTGAGGGACGCCCAACAAATACTTTTGCTTGGATACGTCGAAGAAATGCTTCATCCATCATATTACGTCGATTGGTAGCACCAAAAACGATTAAATTTGGAATATTTTTAACACCTTCAATATGTGAAAGAAGAACACTAATTCCATCGACTTTGGATTGTTGTGCGTTATTATCGCGTTTCGGTACAAGACCATCTATTTCATCAATAGTCATTGCGCATATCAAGAATGGAATGTTATGTGCTCGATACATAATATCAACAAGGAGTTTTTCAGTTTCACCAACATACGGTCGATTCAGTTCACCAGCAGATAATGGCTGTGTAATCATGGTTATTCCAGCATAGATTGCGACTCGTTTAAGTAATTCAGATTTACCTGTTGAATTTCAATATTGAAAAATAAATGGTGCACAAAGTCGAATGTCTTCTTCTCCTGATTAAATTATGATTAAAAGAAATCATCTCACATGTTAATATGAAGAATCTCAATCACTGATCTAAATATTAGTAATGTGTATTTAAATTTAGAAGAACTCAACTACAGTATAACGTATCCTTTGCATAGTCAAATATTTATCCATAATGTTTAAGAGTGAGATGCATCAGTAATCTGTTCATTCACGTGACAACCAGTTTCAACTTAGCTTTTGTTGTCTTAATATTGTTGTTTCTTTAAAAACATTGATGTCAAGATATTTATAGATAAAATTATCTATTAGGTATTGGTTCTTATAAACCATTTTCAGATCAAGAAATTGAAACTGGAATTTATGAAAATAAGAAATGATGAATATTCATAACTTTCGAATTTTCTTAACAAAATAGCTACTAATTTCTGAAATTTGCGTATAGTCAGTTTGATTTTCATACCGTTAAATTTCAATAAGAACTTGCAGATCGGGATTCTGACCATATAAATACATAAACTCCTATTTCCAACGTATTATATTTTTGCGAAACGGTGTAACTTCGGTACGGCATACATGCATAGTGAATAAATTTTCTACAGATCATGCATCTCATTACTTATAGTAAACAAATTTGGCAGCCCTTTTCTTCTATCTACAAAAACTGTAAAAAGTATCCGAAAAGCTTCCCTTACCAGTTCCTGGTGGACCATATAGTAGCAAACCACGTCCATATTTTACTGTTAACTTCTTTTGCTGATCATCTAATTTAAATTCCATCATTTTTTCTAAAGCTTCTATTCGATTTTTGTTCCTATTGAATTCTGTAACCAATGTCGTGTACAGTTTATTCTCTTTATCGTATTCCTTCTGATTGTATTCATATATTTTTTCCCGATGTTTTTTGGACACTTCGAGATTTGTTCGTGCCTTAGCACGTCTTTCGTTGCAAATTTCTACTTGCAATGCTAGGTCCCTTTGTCTTTTCTTTAAACTTTCAACTTCATTAACCCAACCTTTTACTTTTTCTTCGTACGACTTTTTATCTTCAACTTTGTTCTCCAAGCAAAACGTTCGTAAGTAGTTATGGATATTAATTAATATATTACCATCATCATCGTAAGTTTTTCTGACTTCTTTTATAGCTAAATCAACGGCTTCAGATGATAAATGAGGGACAAGATGCAGTTTTTTTATTGAATAGTAAAAATATCGACGAACACGATGAATATCACCAATTAAAGCTGCTGTCGATTCTTCATATGGGTTTTTAGTTTGATCAAACGATTTAACGGCAGTGTTAATTTGCATATAATCCCGTATTAGTTGTTTAACAACATGACCTATTTTACTTAACTTTTCCCAATCCTCTTTTGTTAAAGTGCGTAGATGATCCATTGTTGTAATGTTTTCGCCTGAAATAGAGAAGTAACAGGATAACACAAGTAATAGTTCTCTATGTCACTCGCTTAATCCTCAACTGAATACCTCATTGGTTCATTAGTTTCTATTACTAAACATGTCTTTCAAAACTTAGCAACTGATATTTAAATATGGCTATAATGTAGTGTGAATGATAATATACATGTCTACATCAATTCCTGTACACTCATATCCGTTTCATTCATACTTTGTTGATAAAGTATTCGTTGATTGAAAGCAGAAACTCTAGCAGTGAAAACCAAAGAAGTCCTTGGTAATCCACCGCAAAACATCAGTATCCGGATGCTTTAAAAAACAGAGAACATCACTTTTTCATATAGACAAAATAACTTCACTATAACCAACAGTCATCGACACATAAGTGGCCAATGTCATAAATCAACGCTCACTGAGAAAATATCTACTAAAAGATCATCTAGATTAATAAAGCATTGTCGTTCACGGAACTGAATTCCTATCTGAAGTCGTTGTGATATTAGCTAATTAATTTTAAAATATCTGGAGAATTCGAAACATCTTACTAAGAATAAAAGTTATCATGAAGACACAAATGCTTAATAAATTACATCTGGCATCATCATCAATTGTTCTATTCAAATTATTCAAACGATATCCTGTAGAAGCTATTCTGATGAAATCAGAATCAGTTGCATATCAAATGCAACGATCTTCTACGGCATTCGAAGTCTCTAAAGTGTTCATTGAGTAAGTACCACGTGGAAATTATTAGTTATTTGTTCATATCCCTCTATAATTTCTCTGACTACTAACATGTCCTTATGCATCGTTTAAACGGAAGTGTGAAAATAAAAGACCAATGACTAAAATTAATATGAATAAAAATAGAATGATCATAAAAGAAAAAAAAAGAATAATATTTTTTCAAGCAAAAAATCAATGTTTGAATCGTCTGTTTGGCGTGAATCGTAAAAATGATAGTGATTGCCTTTTAGAGATTCCAGCTTTTTTTTCTATATGAGTATGAGAGAAGCTGCGTATTTTGGCTTGTATTATAAACGCAACTCGCAAACATATTTTTACCACTTTTTAGGTTTGGGAATAGAATTAGTTTTATATATTTCAAATTGAAATCCACATAAATAGATAGATACATAACCACACACACGGCCACTCGTCGTTGCCGTTTATGGTACCCTCAAGATGCTCGGATGTAGTTACATGTACATATGTTTATGTACGCATATCTCGATTTCAATAGCGGAGCAGCATGTTTCAAGCTGAGGGTGTATAAACAGATTTCTTTACGTTTATTTTACAATGGAGGGTATCTAGTTGATGCTGTATTTATGACACAGTCGAAACAAGCATCTCATTGACTATGACAGAGCTTGATAAAATAAATAGGTTCCACATTTCGACTGTGGTGAAGTTTGCATGATAAGTTTTTTCCTTTCTAGTGATCAAACGTATTAATAGTATAGGAATCCTACTAAATGTCGAAAAGATGTCGACAACCTTAGTTGAATTTTTACTTAAATATTACACACTGCGTAGGAGCCATTAGCTCTTTCTGATGAACAATACTGATCAAATTCAGCATACAATAATTAGAAATAGAATATTTTCTGATGTGTATTGGAAGTCGCAAAATACAAATAAGGATATGATACCACACAACCCTGGTTTCATATATACTTGCATAAATAAATGTCTCACAAAATCGCTCAAGGATATTTTTAAGAATTTCATCAAAATTTTCACGTTATCATCTAGTTTCCATTACTGCTCACACTTGGAGCAACATGTATATTATTTACCGATTCTCTATGCAGACTCAATCCTTTTTTCACTATCTTTTTATTGACTGAAGACGAATTGAAATAATTTCATTATTACCATGAAATATTTCATCATTCAATCTGGATCGTGCTAGAGTTTCCTAGGTTTTCTATATGTAATTCCGAAACATTTCGTTATCCCAAAATCTTCATGAATATTTCTAACCGGACTTACTTCGAAGTGAGGCAATCCATGCGTTGGCATCTCTCTCATCATACTTATTTTCTCGACAAATAGTAAGCAATAAATCAAACAATGTTGTGTTTTCATTGTCAAGTAGATTTTTAACGCCTTCTACTTTTGATGTTTCGTTCCCAGCAGCATTAGAGCTAAAATTAATTTCCTTAACAATAACATTTGTTTCGTTTGTTGTTTTCCATAGCTTTGGAAAAGCGAGATTATTTGGACATTCATATTCAATATCGAATAAGTTCAGTAAAAAGTAATGATTAAACGGACCAAATGCATCATTCTTACGTGTAAATAGTGTTGGACGATAAATCTTACATACATTTTGATTACTTGTGTCTATTGGATCATTTAATATGGAAAGTGTGTAAAGTTGTAAAAGTGATAGTTTCCGATTATTAATCTTGAATCTCTCATGTGGACTTGTAAGTTCAGTGACGAACTGACGTATATGCAGATGATTATATTTTATCTTCAGATTAAGAATAATCGCTGGAATGATAGTTGGCAAATTTTCTGAGGTAGACTTCGGTGAAGAAGAACTTATTGTTGATAGTTGATTTGATTCGAAAGAGCGTGATTCTTTATCTGCAGTTGCTCCGCATCGTTGAAAACCGGCCTGTTGCTCCCATTTGAAATCGTCGCCATCATCAAATTTCGTCGACATGATATTAATCTGAAATCTTTGTCAAAACAGACGCTATAAATCCGCTTTGAATAAAGTCAAAATATTAGAAAGTTTTAACAAGAACTTCTATTTATAAAATTTGAATGGTTTTTACTAAAATAGTGAAATATGGCAATTCATAATGATCAAACTGCTCGAAAAATCTCGATAACTGATCATTAGTTTCCAGTTTGTTGATTCTTTGCATTATAATAACTAAAAAACTTCTAAGTCATAACACATGCCATGAGAATAGGGTTCAAATTAGCTTCCCGTAAAATTGAAAATGCCCTGAATTTCCCGATTCTAGCCACGTACTCTCCTATTACTTGGTATCAGGGTCTCGTCTCACATCATAAGTCACAACTTCATATTAGATGTTAGATGCTCACAAATAGCAGACAAAAAAAAACAAATGACACTATCAGAAGAGAATTGCTTTTTGCGTAACTATCTACAATGTATTTCAGATCTTTTCGAGTTTTTCAGACTAAAAAATGTAAAATTAGAAGCAAAATTATTCAAACATCGATGGATGATACAGGGCTGCATGGAGCGGTAGTTTTCGTTGAAGAATCGACAATATGAGAATTGTTTTTTACATACAAATAGAAGACTCATCTACAATTTGTGACACTATGGACTCAGATGAATTGAAATCAAAACAACGAGAAAAAGAATTTCCTACAAGAACTCCAAATCCTTTGTTTGATTATATAAAAATTAGTAAAAAAACGACAACTCTGTAGAAGGCCTAAATTATGATTAAACTTTCACCTTGTTATGAACGTTTTTAATAACTATTTGATATTTCAGAAAATAGCTGAACTTTTTATCGTAATATACCGTGTTCCAAGAATAAAAATAAACAATTAATGATTCATTTCCTTACATGGCTACAGCTGAACTTAAAGGAAAAGTTAATTTGAGTTCATATATAATTCAAACTGAGAATGTTCATAGTTTTTTAATTTTGCCATAATTTTGGCTTTGTAATAGGCTGTGTATTACTGTCTGAATAATAATTGGATTTTATGCGCTCCACCGCATCTGGCCGATGCTGTAAATCTTGTTTGAGAATTTCGTTCGTTTTTTCTTGAATTTCATAATAAAAATCATAGTAATTTTTATGGATATCGGTTAGGGCCCGTTCGCATTGTATAACTCTATCGAACCCTTGTTTACGTACGTCTTCATGACTTTGCATATGTTTCAGTGAACGTTGTAGATCTTCCTTTACATGAGTACATTTTTCTTCTTTTTCAATCATCGCATTATGATTTTGCTTTATATCTTCATTAAGAAATCGTATTTTTTCCTGAGATGTAGTCATGGTTGCTTGAAGTTGTTGCTTTTCTGAATGCAAATCTCGTATCTTTTTCTGAATATTTTCAATATTCTTATTGTTTCGTTCCATTTCGCGGTCTTTACGGGCAATTTTTTCTTGTAAATATTCTATTTCATTTCCTAGCTTCCTTTCTTGTGCTTCTAATAAAGATAATTTTTCGGTAAGAGACTCCAATTTAATTATTTGTTGTTCAACAGCTGCATTTTTTTCTCTCAACAATATATTGTTTTTTTCTAATTTGTTTTTAGAGTCACTCAAATCTTGTTCATGCTTTTCTTTTTCTTTTTGTAAATCTTTTAAACTCGCTTCAAGTCGAGCTAGCTCAGTTTTATTACCTGCGAACCGCTGTGCTTTTATTTCCACTTGATTACGCTTTTCCGCAATTTCTTTTTTTAATTCTTCTACACTTTTTTCATTTGTTTCGAGCATATTTTGTTCATTTTTGATTTCAAGCCGTTTGGATTTTTCGTTGCTTTCTTTATCAGAAAGTGACTGTTTTAAATCTTGGAATTTTTTTTTCGTTATTTGAAGATTTGTTTGTTTTACTGTAAGATCACTTGCATTATCAGTGAGCTTCTTTTGATTGGAAGCTATCAATTCTTGATGTTCTTCCATAGCTTCTTTATGGTTCTTGATTGTTTCTGTCATTGTTTCTATTTCTTCTGACTTTTTCTTTTTCAGTGATTGATTCTCAGCTAGATCTTGCCGATATTTATCTATTTCACTAGTCAGTGTAACTATTTTCGCACGAGTATCTTCCATTTTGCTCTCTGTACTTTTCTTTTCAATTTCGAGCTTCTTATATTCCACTGTTGCATCTCGATGTTGAGCAGATTTACTATCAAGTTTACTCCTACATCTGGCGACATCATTTACTATAACCGTTAATTGTTGATCTTGTTTGACGCGGTCTTCTATTTTTTGCTTCAATCGGTTACTCAAATCAACAGTTCTATTTTGAGCCGTATGGTATTTTTGTTTATTATCTGATAAGATTTTCTTTTTGTTTTCCAGTTTTTGTTCTGCTTGTTCCAGTTCATGCCTGACATCATTAACAGCTTGTTGTCTTTCTCTTTTTTCCTCTTCTCCAAATTTCCAAAATAAAAACTTATGTACTTGACAGCTGTTAAGCTTATGTTCTTTTTCGTCTAGTTTTGCTTTAGCCTGCTGAACTTTTTGTTCTGCAATGTTCACTTCATGTTGAGCATTATTTTGTTGTTGGAGTGCATCCTGTTCTTCTCTCTTAGCTTGTGCTTCTTGATTTATTAATTCACGTTCTTCATTTTGTAATTGTGCTAGCAATTGTTCAGCTTGTTTTTGTGCATTAATAGCTTGATTTACTTCCTCCCTGGCGTCTTCTTTTTGTTGTTGGAGTTGTTCACATTCATCAGCCTTTAGAGTCAAACTATTTTCTAAATCTCGATTTAATCTGATGAAATTCTCTAATAATCGATTTTGTTCTTGCTGCTGTTGTTCTGCCTGTTTAAGTTCTTTTTGGTTCTCTTTAATTAAGCTTTCAAATGACGCCAGTTCTGAGTTTAAATTTTTCAACTGATATATATATTTAATACGTTTATCATCTAACTTTTGCCAGTTTTTCATCAAATCTTGCTTTTCAGCTTCCAATAATTTTCTTTGATCGTTTAGTGCTGTAAATTGTTTTTCATTTGACTTGAGATTATCTTCTTCATATTTTAATTTTTCCTTGATTTGGGAAATTTCGTCCCTTAAATGATTATCAAGAAGCACTTAACAAATTATTTCTCATTTTTCTATATACTGAAAAATGCTCGCAACAATCCGAACCAAAATACACGAGAAGGGACTTATCATAATTCTTTGAAACTCTCGAGCTAACTCAAAAAAAAAACAGAACACTCATGTGTTATTCATACTATAAAAATTAATAAAAGCGTATCATTAGAAAAGTTTTCACTACAGATATTGTCGATGGACTATTCAAAAAACACCCTCGTATTTAATTGTGAACTCAAGTTTTCTTCTCCCGGGTTTTGACATCAAAATATTGAATAGTCTGCAATTATGTATAACTAGTTACGATACTTTAACAGCGTGTGAGTATGCTATGTTTTATTTCACCTAGTTGCGTTTGAGTTAGAGATAGCAGTTAAGCTTTAGCATTGACTCTTAAGTTCCATAAAAATACAGAGTTAAGTACTTTAATTTTAAAACATGTGTTATTTCTATGAAAGAATGAAGTACTAGCGGAGAAAGTTTGCATGTCATCAAAGCCTCAAGTTGCATAATGAAAAATTGATTTTTCGTCATAGCATAACCCATTATTCTACAACATTTAAAAAAATGTACATTAATTAGCTCTAGAAGACGATTTATTATGTTCATAGACCGTTGCTGTAATTTTCATAAAACTTTTGAGGTTTTAGTACTCCATCACATACCGATTCATGCAGGTAATAAAACATTGTTAGGGGTTAATGTTCTGCGCATCCTGGTTATAGTGAGTATCAACTTTAAATTTAACTTTTAAAGTGAAAAGCTTGAAGTAATAGTAACTTTAACTTTCTCATCAAAGTTTTAATTACTGCTTTGATTTTAGTTGTTAAAGTTTAAAGTTAAAGTACAGTCTCTATGCTCGACCATTCCTTTTACCCTAAAAGCATAAGCTCTCGAGTTTGAAATTGGGATGAGAAACAAATTAATAAATCTTATGAACATAAGAGTCAACAAGAAAAAAATCCAAGTTTCAATATAGTTTTTGTTATTTCATGTTCTTTTAGAAACATTTGGCGGCTAGCAATCCACTATTATACTAATACTTTAGAAGCAGACACCTTCCCCTCTCTTCCTAAATACCACGATTGATTGACAGAGTTATAGCTCTACAGGAGAGTTCCATAGTAGACAAGCTTTGCTAGAGGCTACTCATTGAGAGTAATCTTATTCATAATGAGAAATATCACCCGAAGTAGATAACAGGTTAATAATCGATTTGACGTAAATTCCTACACGAATGTACTTTTAAACTATAGAAGATTGCTGTGGCTCTGAGAAGAAAATAGCACCCATACTTTGTTTTAGGCAAAACACCTGCCAAAAGAAATGTTTACGAGAATGATAAAAAAAATTGATCGGTTCTACTAGTTATCGCTACCAATCGATAAGAGTCTTTGATGAACTAATCAGTGAGAATCTATGGTTGCTCATGCCTACTTAGAATTTTGACTTTAAGCTTACTTCAATGAATTTAGTTCTTTTGTGAGTCTTTGAATATTTTCTTGATATCCATCGACAGCATTCTGCAAACGACTCAGACCTTCTTCTTTCTCCTTCAATGAACGAGTCAACTGTATGACGGCAGCTTCCAGAGCAGCTTGTTCCGCTTTTAAATCATTCTGCTTCGACAGTAGCATGTTTTGCTCATCATTCAAGCGCTCGATGTTGGAATTGATTTCTCGCAAATGTTCTTCTAACTGTTTTATTACATTTGTTAACCCTTGAATTTCATTTTGAATCCGCATCAGTTCAGCTTTTAATCTTTCCAATACCATTTTGTTTTCTTCTAATTCATCTTTAGCTTGCTTTATCAGTTGTTGTAGCCCGTACAGTGACAATCCTAATCTATTTCGTTCATCGATTATCTCTTGCTCTTTGTATTGCTTCTCATCACATTGTTTTTGAAGTATTTGTCTCTCTTCATTGAGCTGACGTTGTTTTTCTTGGTTTTGTTGAAGTTCGTATTCAAAAATTTTAAAACTAGATTCCTGTTTATCACACGCATCCTTGCTACGGACAAAATCGTCGATTAACTTTCTGTGTTGATCATATAGTTCACGCTGCTTCTTTTGTAAATTTTCTAGTTCTTTCAACTCATTTTGCATCTGCTTGATTAAATCATCATGTCTCTCCAAACTTGTATCTGCTTCTTTGGCTTGATTATTCCGGAGTGTTCGGGCACTGTCTCTCTCTTCTTCTTTTTGCTGCTTCTCTAGAAAGCATCCTTTTTCAAATGTGTTAACCCGGTCATTGATTTCATTAATACGGTTTGTAGCTACAGATGACAATTCTGCGGACACACGATCAGGTAATGCATAGAATTCACTTGTCATTTCTAAAACTGTATGTTTACAGATGGGAAACAAAGTATCTACAAAAAAAGCAACATCAATTTATAGGAACCACGGTGTCGGATTTGGTAGAAAACGTATTGGCTCATTCTATAATTATTCTAGTGACTATGTTTTGGCTAAAAGCTTCAACGTAGCGATGGTAAACTTTGGAATATATATGATCGTATTTATTCCTGAAATCATTGTAAAGTCTACGACACAATTCAACCTTAATGAGCACGATTTATTTTCCTGATTTCAGTAACTCACTACTAGAGCCGGTCAGATCGGACACGGTCAAGTGCTGATGGGGTCCGGGTTTACAGATTCACTATTTACGTTATGCAGGTCATAGATAACAGGCCCTACCTATGCTTAAATTGATTATTGCATTCTGATAGAAACATAGTTTACGGAAAATTTTCAAAATGTAGTTCGTTTTTCAGTTGGAAAGACGATAATCAATAGTATACAAACTCGAATTCTCAAAGATAGATGCAGGCGTGTCAGGTTCCGGCTGTACAAGGGTTCAACAAGTGGAATTTGGGGTCGGGAGTAAAACTATTGGACTCGACGAGTTCTCTTCACTCTCCATGTATAAATTTGTATGCGAATATTAGGCTAAACATATAACTACATTCAGAACCACTTTCTATATGAGCTTCTTCTCATCTCGCTCATACTGGCATCATAATAATAGCTATACGGCTTTTGCGTGGTTTCTAAGTCCTTTGCTCGATTTATCGTATCCATATTAACATTCATATGAGTCTACACTTAGCAATGCTAATTTGTTCAAAATAATGGTTCTACCGAGCCTTATTACCAGAGCCAGTCGGGTCCAATATTTTCAGGCCCTAATTCGGCTTTCTAGACGTTTGTGCACTCTAAAACAATAAGTTCTCCACGAAGCGCCTACGGTTCGGAAGGTTTGAAAGAGCGTCCAAATCAGTGGAACTGTTCAGAAACCGCTTTTTCCGCTCTTCAAGGCTTATAAAGGTTTTTTCTGAAAAAGAGTATAAAACTTTTAGAGGTTTTGTAGAATGGGAAAACTCGGTTTTGAACATCTTCACTCATTTAGACACAATTTCATACCTATGGAATCTTTTCTTAGGCGTTTCGTAGAGATATTACTGTTTTTAGAGTGCATTACTCGGATTCAGAGTCGTATCTGATACAGCTGTGCCAAATTTTATGAACTGAAGCTTGTGAACCACTGATTATGGTTTCATCAACCTAAAGTGAACTACATTTTGGAAATTTTTTACTAAATCATGTTTTTGTTGGGGTCAACCATCTGCTTTTCGTCCAGTTAGAGCCTGACAGACTCAGCCTGTCATGTGTGAGTTGGACACAATGAAGAGTTAACTTTTCGATCTGTATCCGGACTTACACCTGATTAAAACCGAATCGGGTTCGGGTACTACTCGTGAACGTTACTACTCATCTTGGTATTGACATTTATGGTTAAGAGTGTTATGAATGAAACTCAAGGGGGAAAAAGCGAGACTCACTCTACTCCAAAAAAAATTGGAGTACGGGTAGAGTACTGGTGGAGTACAGTTGGAGTACAGCTGGAGTACAGCTGGAGTACAGTTGGAGTACAGTTGGAGTACAACTGGAGTACAGCTGGAGTACGAATTGAGTACGCACTCTAGGAGTCTCGCTTTTTCCCCCTTGATGAAACTGCATATTTTACCATGATATAGTACATCATTAGTCTGAAACGTTTCATTTAGTATCAATATTAGTACAAACAAAGTAACAATGATACTATAGATAGTATTCCTAGTGCTCTACTGGTCATGCTGTCCGTGATGTCGGTGACTGCTATCTAGACATCAAAAATTTTTAAATTAGTCAAACTTGATTCTACTTTTATATAGTCATTGGAACCCAGATCCGTAAACAATCTATATCAAATTTTCTTACTCAGAAGGTTATATGGATTTGGCTTACGACGGTTAAATGATTGCCAATAAAACTATGAAAAATCCCTCTCAAAAAAGACTAAATAAATGCGAAAACCTCGGATTTAAATCCGAGTGTTATGTGTACTTCAAAAAGTGAAAAGGTATATTCACTGTGTTTTTATCACTAAATTGCAAGGAGAAAATACAGGCATGCTAAGTTAGCA